AGGTTAAATCCTGCCTGGTCACTGTGGGACTGGAGAAGTCACCCTGTAGGCGCTGGCCCTTCCCCCGAGGGGGAAGCTGACAGGGGACGAGACTGGAGGCTGAGAGGTGGTAAGTAACGGGCTTCCACGGTGCAGTCTGCCTGTTTCAAGTTTTCAGCCTGTGCCCAGATGGCTCCCTTACCTTCTGGAGGGGCCACCTGAGTTGTGGGCTTCCTCCACGTGGTATTTGACACCTTCTCCCTGCAGGGCCTTAATCTACCCCTTGCACTTCATCTCCTACCATCCAGGTTCCTGCCAATCCAAGGTGTCACCCCCACCACTAGCCCAGTGCTAAATACGCTGCACCTAGTGAAGTGCCTGGCGCCCAGGCCACACGGGGCACACCTGCAGAATGAAGGAATGAATGACTACCCTCTACTCGCCCATCTCAACTCCTGCTATCTTCTCCGCCTGGAATGTTATTCCTCCTCTCCTACTTAGACTTCATTTCAAGGACCACGTCCTTCCCAAAGATGTAATTTACAGACTTGTTCATTTATGTTTGTCACACGTCCCTCCACTTTCCATAGCGTGCTCAGTGGATCTCCCTACCCTCACCGCCTCCTTTGAACACCCGCAGGACTACGCCTGCCTCTCTGATGGCTCTTCTTTGCCCAGCCTCCTGCTCCTGCAGGGCGGAGCCGAGCTCTGCAAAAACCTCTGGTCAACCACTGAACAGAATGGGGCTGGTGGCTGGGCTTTGGAGTGCACTGTTAGGTTTCCACCCAGGAGTTGCAGCCAGGTAATAGGCCATCTCTGCAGAAGGTGTTAGGGCTGCTTCCTCCTGGGCAAGAGCAGTGTGATGAGGGTTTGCAGAGATCTTTTGTGAAAGGCCCAGGGTCAAGGAAGGCCAGCACCTCATGACAATTTCACACAGCTTGAAATATTCCTACTTTAGCCAACAAGCCCTGGGAGAGAAGGATTCTAACACCTCATTCACCATGTGGTTCTGAAAACCTGGTCCTGTCTCTAGAATCTTTCTTCATTGGGTTGCACAGTCCCCCGGCAACTCTCCTCTGGGCCTTCAGACCACTGGCGGAAGGAAAAACAGGTAAAATTGGTGGCAGCCCCAGCCATGTTGGGAAAACAAGCTTGGGACGGAGACGTTTGAGATGGCATCACCCGATGTCACCAGTTTCTGGGCAGATCAGACTCAAGCCAAATCTTCTGCGCTTTAACCTCAGGCCACAACCTGCCACATTGTGCTTTTGTGCCGAGGAAGCCAGAAGGCTGACGAGGGAACGATTGTGTAAGCAGAAGGCAAGCAGGTGGGGGAGATGCACTCAGCTGTGAGGCTTAGTTCCCTCAGCCTGTGCCAGTTCCCTGTATTGGGTGGCCTGGCGCGGCAGCTTATGAACTGGTTCAGGACTCTGGGGACAGAATAGATTTCCCTAAGCGCATATAAGAATGGCCATTTCCAATGGAGGGCGCTAAGGGTATTGTCGGTGGCTGTGTGTGAGCAGCATCGACTCACCACTCAGCTCACTGAGCTCTCCCAGCCTGGGTCTCTAGCCTGGTCTTTGGCTCCCTTTTGTGTTCCTCGTGATCGTTGCAGGGAGCTGCCGGCCAGGGAGTGAAGCCTGCTGAGTGCTCCACAGGGCGCTATGGGTGAGCCGAGCCCCGTTCACCCGCGAGCCCTCACCACCGAGCCAGAAATAACGGCCCCCTCTAAGTAAAACCTACGCTTAAATAAACTTAAACCCAACCTGGCAGAACAAATAGCCTCTTCCTTGCTTCATCCTCCAGGAACTGTATGTTCCAACTTGGGGAGGTGACGTTTCTCCACCAACAGTGGCTCCCAATGAGAAAGCAGGGCCCCCACCTGTTTCTGAGTGCCGCAAGTGGTCCTTCCTCTCAGGAGGGCGTGGGCTTCTCGGCCGGGACAAGCCCGGCACCACTCACAGTGTTTCCGCACCTGCAGCAGCGTGTAGAGACACAGGACACAGTCTGGGCAGGAGCCAGACAGGGTGGGGCTGGCTGCGCAACATCAGGCCCCGAGGACAGCTCGGCAGCGTCCAAGGTTCTAAAACAGCTTCCCATCGGGGCTCGAGGACCAGGCTTCAGGGCTATGCCTTGCAGAGGCGGTGGCCTGTGCGGCAGATGCCAGCCAACAACAAAGCTCCTGTTGGCTGCCCAAAGTCCAGCTCCGTTCTAGCCCAGCCTGGCCTCCGCTCCCCGCTGTCAGAGGGGACTGCCACACCACGCCGCTGCCTACTCCATAGAACCAGGTGGTAATTCCACACTGTAGTCATGCTTCCAAACTGGCTAAAGCCAGCACCAGGCGCAGGGCTGTGAGGGTTTAGGAAGAGCGTAATGATTATCAGTATTCCAGTACAAAGCAGGAACTTGGATGGCTCAACTGCCCATGGAAAATGAGTGAGTCCAAGATCTCAATGGTTTGCATCCTCCATTGAGGACAAAAATTCTCTAGCTTTAACACCCGAACTCTCTGTACAACCTGGTTGCCCGGAATCCTGGGCACAGTGTTATGAAGGCTCCTGCCCCTCGTGGGGGCAGGACTGACAGTTTTCAGGTGTAGCATAAATAAAAATCCCATGATTCTAGATCTTCATGACGTTTCTTGCAGCCAGCTAGCCAAGGTAACCTGCCCCATGACTTCCATTGCAGAAGGGTCCGGGAATCCCAGTGATCAAGCCGTTAGCATACCTCCAGGTGGTAGCGGTCCCAACTGGACTCTGAACTCTGGGAGCCCCATACCCAGGGCAACCGAGCAGGTTTGCAGGGCTGAGGGTAGTCTCTGGCTCATCTATTATGAACTTGGTCTCTGCAGGGACTGGCTGGAAGGGACAAGGAGAGGTGGGATTGGCTGCCTTCTGGGAATGAGAGATGCTGTATGTGGTCTAGATCATACCTGTCTATAGAAAGTCTGTAAATTAGCCTTTAGGTCCCTTTGGGGAGCCATGGGACTTTCCTTATTTGATCCTAAGTCTCTGGACCTCTGGGCCACAGAAAACAGGACTATGAAGGATGGGTGAGCACACCCAGCTAGTTGGCCATGAGAGGTGAGGTCGGGCCTTAAGCTTGCTCCTGTGCTCTAGGGAGGGTCCTTCTGAGTGGCAGAGGCCTGGCTGTGTCCAGCTTGAACCAGGGCTATCTCTTCCTGCAAACACACTTTCCTAGACCCCTGAGTGGAATGGATACTGCGTGGGAGGGGGTGGGGCCAGTGCAGTTCAGACCTCATTCCCACCATTTAATGCTGGCCTGGCTGGGAGAAGGGGTGAGCAGGCTGTGGCTTCTGTCACCAGCTGGGGCTCTAGGGGTGCCCCACTTATTACCGAACCAGGGGCATGCTTCATTCAGATATTCCAATAGCAATGATCCAACAGGACAGTCTCTTTTTATCTGTCTGAATCCTAGGCAACATCAGAGGGTTGCTTCCTGCCGTTGACATGGAGCTGCTTACCCCAGCCCATGCCAGAGTGTGCCATCCACTGTCTCCACCATAAATAATCACACCAAACTGGGGTGCAGCCTTTGACTGCTCTGTGAATTCCTCATGCATACCAATTAGGTATAATCCTCTGAGAGCTTGCTGTGCAACTCAGACTTCAGATATTCCCAGGGAATAAACCTGGTAGAGTGCCACAGGCTGGACTATAGTACAGTATTCCCAGAATTCTGACCCTGCAAAGCAGCCAAGAAAGCTAATGAGACTAAGACACATCCAAAAAGGGCTTCTCTGGAGGCTCAGGAAGCCTTCCTGGAAGATCCACACGGAGACTGAGCTTTGGAGGATGAGGAGGTCAGAGAAGAAAAAGCAAAGAGCTGTGCAGAGCGATGACCATTAGCTTGTAACAGTACAACAGTGGCTCCAATGTGGCTTTAGGATTTATAAAGTGCTTTCTGCAGGGAGGAAGCACTTCTGCTACAGCCAAAGGAGCTGGGAGCATTTCTGGTTCTCTCTTGAGCACCTGCCCATTTCATCACTATTCTGAGGCTCCAACTCAGCGGTGGAGAGAAGAACATGCCTGTTGCTCTACACTGGCTTCTGACAGTACATGAAGCCACCCTGGGATGACCCAGGAGCATGAGCCTTTACACAGTGGCCTGCCATGACAGCAGGAGGGGCACCGGATTCCTCTTAGCTTTGCTGATGCTTCGACATCACAGCACTAAGCTGTGCTGAGGTGGCCCTGTTAGCCAGATGTGCAGCAGGTTGTGGTAGGGAGCAGGCAGGCAGGTGACCTGAGCTTAGGGCAGTAAATACTCACTGTATCCAGCACATCGCAATGATGAGCAAGCAGGCCACGATGGAGACCAACCACCAAGGCGTGATGCGCTGCTTCTTCTGGCTGGCAGCCACCACCGGCCAGGAGGTCCGCGTGCTCACAGCGTGCACCACGTACCCGAATGGCAGCTGGGAGGGGAAGAAGGAACGTCAGTGAACTCTCCCGACAGAAGGTCTGTTGCAACTCCACAGGGAGGCCGGCTGGAGGGCTACGAGCTTACAGGGCGCCTGTCGTCTTTTGCTATTTGGAGGCAAAGGTCAGCAAAATACCTCCTATCCCTGCCACAGGCACTGCTGCTTGGAGAAGTGAAGCTAGTCACCCTTATCACCTGGACGAGAAAGCTCCACTGTTACTGCTACTATGGGGGAATAAAGCAGCCAACTGGGCAGGTGCGGTGGCTCACACCTATAATCCTAGACTCTGGGGGCCGAGGCGGGTGGATTGCTCGAGGTCAGGAGTTCGAAACCAGCCGAGCAAGAGCGAGACCCCGTCTCTAGATATAATAGAAGAAATAATGGACAACTGAATATATAGAAAATTAGCCAGGCCATGGTGCGCGAGCCTGTAGTCCAGCTACTCGGGAGGCTGAGCAGGCAGGATTGCTTGAGCCCAGAGTTTAGGGTTGCTGTGAGCCAGGCTGACGCACGCACTCACTCTAGCCTGGGCAAGAAAGCGAGACTCTGTCTCAAAAAAAAAAACAAAAAAGTCAGGTCTCTAGGAAGATTCTCTAATTGTAATGAAAACAGCTTTAAAAAGGGCAAGGAAAAACAGGGAAGATGTAGAGGTGGATCAGAAGGTGCATTTGTCACCTGAAAAGGGAGCATTTTTTCAGCTAGCCAAAGAATGAGCACTGCCATGTAGGGGCAGAGGAAGCCAACGTTTGCCAGTCATTTGATTTCTAAAGGAGAAAGCAGCAGAGAAGTGAGGCTCTCCTATCCTGGAGTGTAGACAACGGTCCAGCCAGGCCTGCCTGGACCCACCTGTGCTTTCAACCCTTTTCAGACCTGCTGGTTTACAAAGGACTGACCCGAAGGCACTTCTAGGGAGGCACGTGCTTGAGCCCGTTCCCTGCCCGGGTATACAGGCACAGGGAAGGGGGCACCGGCAGCTGTGAGTTGCTGGACCTGAGAACCAGAACATTTGCAGACACGAAATCTAAAGTTCTTGCAGGGAACCTCCGCTTCCACCGTCTGTCTATCCTCATTCTTCTAGCGTCTCTGCAAAATCTCTTAAAAGCCAGTTGCTGATGGGGTCTAAAAACCAGTGTCAACTAATTGGTCTCTGAGCAGGATGCTATAGTCAAGCCTTAGCCCACATATCTGCTGCTGTAGGACCGGCTCAAAGAATGGAAACTTACACCTATTTTGTTTAATAATTAAAAAACCCTAGAGCTGTGTAAACACATTGCTCGGGGCCAGCTCTGAACAGATCTGATTTCCGCATGCAGTGCTTCAGGTGTGGCAGCAGTAAATCAGAGTGCCAGAGTGAAGACAGGGGCCATAGAACTGTCTCAATTATAAGAGATAAAGAGAAAGTGCACAGAAATGGTTCTTCCAGACCAGAGAAGATTAGGCAGAAGACAAAATTTTCTGACAGAAATTTCAAGCCAGTCTGATGTATCTGAAATGCCCCTTCTGCGTTGTGATTAGCTAGATGCACTGAAGGGTTAATGGGTGGAAATCTTTCACTTTTCAAGTATTAGTAGATAAGGAGTTTCCTCACACAAGGAGTTTATAGTCATTTCGTTGTTGTTATTCTGTCTCCAAGTTTTAAGGAACAACCCTAGGGATGTGCTACCCATCTTATTTGACACGATCCATAGCCTCCCACAAGCAGGCCCAATGGGTCAGAACATACCCGGATGCTCAGGAGAACAATTTCTCCTTCTCTTGAGGGAAAAGCGAGACCCACATGGTGGAGGTGGCTTGTTAGAGGTTTTGTTAATAAAACTAGCAACCTGAATGGAAAAGAAAAAAAAAATCACTGGAATATGTCTCTTAATGCTTGAAAATAAATAGGAAAGTTAAATTTCTCCTTTTAAAAATAAAGCAACAAGCCAACCAAGCAACAAAATGGAAAATAAATGACTGACTGGTCTGTCTTTAATGAACTTGGCCTGAAATGCCCATGGCTCCTTGCTAAGGCTCTATTTCTCCCATCCAATTACTAACCAGGTCAGACCCTGCTTAGCTTCCGAGATCAGGCGCGTTCAGGGTGGTATGGCTGTAGACTATTTCTAACATCCTCTTAGAGGGCTCACAAGGAAGTGAATCCATTCAATCACCGAGCAGTATAGCAAGTATTGTGTTTGTACTGTGCACACACACACACAGCCACTCTCTTCTTCTCTTCCCCAACAGAAGGGACAGATCTCCCTACTGGATTTGCTAACTTTTCTACCAGAACATATCAGGACATTGACCGGCTTTGTGTCTTAAATGGCATGACCTCTGAACCCCCATCTTTGCTCCTATCAGTCATTCATCCTTTGGTTCCATCTCCACAGCCCCCTGGAAGATTTTTCCAAAGCCTGATCCGTGCCAAAGAGGCCAGACATTTGTAATCAGTATAGCAGTACGTACATCATTAATGTAGACGTCTGACTTAAGGGATTAAAAATAAAACCATTCTCCATCTAATAAATAAGAAATTATCTTTGAGGGTGGCAACAGCATGGGACGGTCTTCAACATCATGTGTCCATGGAAGATGTTGGGCTGGTTGAGGGTCTTGTGGCCAGAGGACATGGCTCCTCTTGAAGTTGGTGTCTTCATGTAACAATAAGCAGCTTCCCCTTCTCTGCTTTCTTTCTCGAAAAGCAGATGAGAGAAAATGGTAACAACTACAGAGATCTCCCACACTGGGCAGGATTCTGTTGCAGGGAGGTGTCCCATGAGAAAGAAATACAGCCTGGAATCTGTGACTGGCAGAAGACAACTGCATACACCTGGACTCAGACACCGACCGACGCACACACCTTATCTAGGTAAACAGGAGGCCACCTCTTTGCAGTTCTTTTTTGACCAGTCTTTAAGTTGTGGCCCACTGATTGCTCCTTGAGGTCACACTGAATAGCCCCAAGCAGACAGAGTTCTTGACAGAGTTTTAAAGGCCCAGAGAAGACAGAAATGTTGCGCGGGTGGGTGGTCACAGGCAGAGTAGGGAAGGTCTGCCAGCTTGTCCAGGTACCTCTGGCGGTCCTGTCCTCTAGAAGGCCTTTCTTCATTGGGCTGCCACAGTCCCCCGGCCAAACTCCTCCTCTGGGCTCTTCAGACCACTGGCAGGAAGGAAAAACAGGTTAAAAATTGTGGGCCAGCCCCCAGCCATGTTGGGAAAACAAGCTTGGGACGGAGACGTGGAGATGGCATCAGCCGATGTCACCAGGTTCTCTGGGGCAGTCAGACTCAAGTCCAACTTCTGCTGCTTTAACCTCAGGGGCCACAACTTCTGACATTGTGCTTTTGGTGCCAGAGGAAGCCAGAAGGGCTGACCGAGAGTGAACGAGTTGTAGCAGAAGGAAGCGGGTGGGGAGATGCACTCAGCTGTGAGGGCTTTAGTTCCCTCAGCCTGTGGCCAGTTCCCTGGTATGGGGTGGCCTGGCGGGCAGCTCATGAACTGGTTCAGGACTCTGGGGACAGAATAGATTCCCCTAAGGCCATATAAGAATGGCCCATTTTCCAATGGATGGGCGCTAAGGGTATTGTCTGTGGCTGTCGTGGTGAGGCAGCATCGACTCAACCCTCAGCTCCTGAGTCTGCCCAGCCTGGCGTCTTCCTAGCCTGGTCCTTGGTCCCTTTTGTGGTTCCTCTGGACGTGTGCAGGGAGTGCCCGGGCCCAGGAGTGAAGCACTGCTGATGTGCTCCAGCAGGGCGCATGGGTGAGCAGCCCCAGTTCACCCTCGAGCCCTCACCACGAGCCAGAATAAACGAGCTCCCCTCTAAGTAAACCTACCTTAGAATAAACTAAACCCAACCTGGCAGAATCAAATAGCCTCTTCCTGCTTCATCCTCCAGGAACTTATGTCCCAACTTGGGGAAGGTGACGGTTTTCTCCACCCAACAGTGTCTCCCAATGGAGAAAAGGCCCCCTACCTGTTTCTGAGTGGCAGCAAGTGGTCCTTCCCTTCAGGAGGGCGCTGGGCTTCTCGTGCCGGCAGACAAGGGCCCGGCACCACTCACAGTGTTTCCGCACCTGGCAGCAGCTGTAGAGACACAGGACACAGTTTGGGCAGGAGCCAGGCAGGGGGGGCTGGCTGGCGCAACATCAGCCCCAGGGACAGCTGGGCAGCTCCAGGTTCTAAAACAGCCTTCCCATGGGGCCTCCAGAGGGACAGGCTGTAGGGGCTGATGGCCTTGCAGGGCGGTGGTCCTGTGGGGCAGATGCCAGCCAACAACAAAAGCTCCTGTTGGCTGCCCCAAAGTACCAGCTCCGTTTCTTAGCCCAGCCTGGCTCCAGCTTCCCCAGTTGTCAGAGGGGACTGGCCACCCACCCCGCTGCTTTCTCCATGAAGAACCAGGTGGGTAATTCCACACATGTAGTCATGGCTTCCAAACTGGGCTAAAGCAGCCACCTCAGGCCGGCAGGGCTGTGAGGGTTTAGGAAGAGGTTATTTATCAGGTATTTCCAGTAGCAAAGCAGGGAACTTGGATGGGCTGAACTGACCCATGGAAAAATGAGTGAGTCACAGATCTCAATGGTTTTGCATCCTCCACTGAGGACTAAAATTCTCTAGCTTTGGAACACCCAATCTCTCTGTAAACCTGTGTTGCTGGAATCCTGGAGCATCAGGGTTATGAAGGCTCCTGCCTCCCTCTGTGGGCAGGACTGGACAGTTTTCAGGGTTAGCATAAATAAAAAATCCCATTGATTCTAGATCCATTCATGACTGCTTTCTTGCAGCCAGCTAGCCAGGTACACCTGCCCCCGTGACTTCCCATGCAGGAGGATCCTGGGGAATCCCAGTGGGATCAAGGCCTCTAGATCCCTCCAGGATGGGCTAAGCTGGTCTCAGCTGGAACTCTGCAACTCTGGAGAACCCCATACCCAGGCAACCAGCAGTTTGGCAGGGCTGAGGGCTTAGTGTCTGGCTCATTTATTATGAACTTGGTCTCTGGTAGGGACTGGCTGGGAAGGGACAGAGGAGAGGTGGGATTGGCTGCCTTCCTGGGAATGAGAGATGCTGTCTAGGTGTCTAGATCATACCTGTCTATAGAAAGTCTGTAAATTAGCCTTTAGGTCCCTTTGGGGAGGCCCATGTGGACTTTCCTTATTCTTGATCCTAAGTCTCTGGGACCCTCCTGGCCACAGAAACAGGACTATGGAAGGATGGGTGAGCACACCCAGCTAGTTGGCCATGAGAGGTGAGGTAGGTGGCCCTCTAGCTTGCTCCTGTGCCTCTAGGGAGGGTCCTTCTGAGTGGCAGAGGCCTGGCTGTGTCCCAGCTTGAACCAGGGCTATCTTCTTCCTGCAAACACACTTTCCTAAGGCCCCTGGGAGTGGAATGGATACTGCATGGGGAGGGAGGTGGGGCCAGTGCAGTTCAGACCTCATTCCTCACCATTTAATGCTGGCCTGGCTGGGAGAAGGGTGTGAGCAGGCTGTGGCTTCTGTCAACCAGCTGGGGCTCTAGGGGGTGCCCCACTTATTACCAGAACCAGGGGCACGTGCTTCATTCAGATATTCCAATAGCAATGATCCAACAGGACAGTCTCTTTTTTATCTGTCTGAATCCTAGGCAACATCAGAGGGTTTAAGTCTGGCTTCCTGCGTTGACATGGAGCTGCTTACCCCAGCCCATGCCAAAGTGGCCCATCACTGTCTCCCTCATAAATTAATCTACACCAAACTGGGGTGCAGCCTTTGACTGTTCTGTGAATTCCTTGTGCATATCCAATTAGGTATAAATCCTCTAAGAGCCTGGTGTGCAACTCAGACTTCAGATATTCCTAGGGAATAAACCTGGTAGAGTGCCACAGGCTGGGACTATAGTACAGTATTCCCAGAAGTTTCTGACCCTGCAAAGCAGCTGAAAGCTAATGAGACTAAGACACATCCGAAAAGGGCTTCTCTAGGGCTCAGGAAGGGCTTCCTGGAAGATGCCACATGGAGACTGAGCTTTGGAGGATGAGGAGGGGCAGAGAAGAAAAAGGCAAAGAGCTGTGCAGAGCGATGACCATTAGCTTGTAACAGTAGCAACAGTGGCTCCCAATGTGGCTTTAGGATTTATAAAGTGCTTTCTGCAGGGAGGAAGCACTTCTGCTACAGCCCAAAGGAGGCTGGGAGCTGTTTCTGGTTCTCTCTTGAGCACCTGCCCATTTCATCACTATTCTGAAGGCTCCAACTCAGCGGTGGAGAGAAAGAGCATGCCTGTTGCTCTACACTGGCTTCTGACAGTACATGAAGCCACTGCTAGGGACTAGCCCAGGATGCATGAGGCTTTTACACAGCGTGGCTGCCATGACATGCCAGGAGGCACCGGAGTTCCTCTTAGCTTTGCTGATGCTGTTCAGACATCACAGCAGTAAGCTGTGCTGAGGTGGTGGCCCTGTTAGCCAGATGTGCAGCAGGTTGTGGTAGGGCAGGCAGGCAGGTGACCTGACCTTAGGGACAGTAAATACTCACTGTATCAGCACACATGCAATGATGAGGACAGCCAGGGCCACGATGGAGACCACCACCAAGGCGGTGATGGCCTGCTTCTTCTGGCTGGCAGCCACCACGGCCAGGAGGTCTGCGTGCTCACAGCGTGCACCCACGTACCCAGAATGGCAGCTGGGGAAGAAAGGAACGTCAGTGAACTCTCCCAACAGAAGGTCTGTTCCCAACTCCGCAGGGAGGGCTGGGCTGGAGGGGCCTAGAGCTTACAGGGGCCCTGTCGTCTTTTGCTATTAGGAGGCAAAGGTGTCAGCAAAATACCTCCTATTCCCTGCCACAGGCACTGCCTGCTTGGAGAAGTGAAGCTAGTCACCCTCATCACCTGGACGAAAGCTCCACTGTTACTGCTACTATGGGAATAAGAAGCATGGGCGGCGAGTGGCTCACGCCTATAATCCTACGCACTCTTGGGGGAGGCGAGGCGGGATTGCTCGGTCAGGGTTCGACCGCCTGGGCAAGAGTGAGACCCGTCTGCTTACGATAGTACAATAGGAAGAAATTAATTGGACAATATATTATATTAGAAACATTAGCCAGGCATGTGGCGATGCCTGTAGTCAGACTACTCGGGGCTGAGGCAGCAGATTGCTTGAGCAGGGTTGAGGTTCTGTGAGCTAGCTGATGCCACGGTCACTACTTACGCCTGGGCAGAAAGCGAGACTCTGTCTCAAAAAAAAAAAAAAAAAAGACAGCACTGTATTCATGGGTGACTTCATTTAGCAGTTCAGAGAACAGGTTATTTAATCAATTGTGTATTTTCACAGTTTTTGATGGATGACAGAAAGAAAACATGCTAAACATTTGGAGACATAGGCTGTGTTGCTTTGTATCTCCTTATCAGTATAATTCTCGTCATATTTACCAAGTGCCTAGTGCACGAACCTCTGAGTAGCTGACAGGAGGTTAATCGCGTGCCCTGTCCACTGTGGACTGGAGAACCCTGTATGGCGCTGCCCCTCCCCAGGGGGAGAGCTGACAGGGGACGGACTGGAGGCTGAGAAGGGGAAGTGGTAAGTAACGGGCTTCCACGTGCAGTTCTGCCTGTTCTAAGTTTCACTGTGCCCAGAGTGGTCCCTATTCTGGAGGGGGCCACCTGAGTTGTGGGCTTCTCACGATGGTATTTGACACCTTCTCCCTGCAGGGCCTTAAGTCTACCCTTGCACTTCGTCTCCTACCATCCAGTTTTCCTGCCACCGAGTGTCACCCCCACCAAGGCCCAGTGCTAATCGGCTGGCAGCCTAGTTAGTGCCTGGCGCCCAGCCACACGGGGCAACCTGAAGAATGAAGAATGGAAGCTACCCTCTACTCGCCCATCTCAACTCCTTGCTATCTCTCCCGCTGAATGTCTATTCTCTCTCTACTTAACTTATTTGCAAGGACCACGTCCTTCCAAAAGTAATTCATACGACTTGTTTCATTTATGTTTGTCCACCGTCCTCCACTTGTCCATAGCGGTGTCAGTGGATCTCCTACCTCTCACCGCCTCCTGTTGAACACGCAGACTCACCTGCCTCTCTGATGGCTCTTCTTGCCCAGCTTGCTCCTGCAGGCGGAGCCGAGTCTGCAAAAACTTGACCCTACAAATGCTGGCTGCTTTGGAGTCACTGTTATTCCCAGAGTTGCGCAGGCATACCTCTCTGCAGAAGGTGTTAGTGCTCTGGCGCAGCAGTGTATGAGTTGCATTTTGTGAAAGCCAAGTCAAACCACCTATGAATTTACACGCTAAATAGTTCCTACTTAGCACACCTGGAAAGGCTTCTACACCTGATTCACCAGATGTGGTTCTGAAACCCTTGAATTAACAGATCAGAGTTGGCCCTCAGACTCTAAATAAAAGCTTCAAGCCAGCCTACATACAATAAAACATCTATGGGGACTATAATCCTTGAAGTTCTTTTGTTTTTTTTTGAGACAGAGTCTCGCTTTTTGCCCAGCTGTGGTGCCGTGATCAGCCTAGCTACAGCAGCGCCTCGCCGTGGCTCAGGCAATCTCCTGCCTAGCCCGTACTGACCCGGCGATGCCTGGATAATTTGTTGGATATATTAGTTTCAATCAATTTCGTTGTCTATTTATAGTAGGACGCGTGGTCGTCCGCTCTTGCTCAGGCTGGTTCCGAACTGCTGACTAACGATCTGCCGCCTCGGCTCCCAGATGCTAGGATTTACAGGCGTGAGCCACACGGCCGGCAAGTTCTCTTTTAATCTCAGTAATCACTACTGACATATAACTTTGGGGCTATTACTTACCTTGATTTACAGATAAGGAAACAAAAGTTTTTAGAAGCTTAGATATGAACAAGCTCATCCATTAAGGCTACTTTTCTAGGTTAATGCTAACTGGTTTGGAAGATACCCTGGGCCAGTGAGTCAATGAAAAACACAAACCGCACGAGACTAAGGAGAGGTGGCTGCTGACCGTCCCACAGAAGGTTCCCCTGCTGTCTGTGTGGCAGGGAGCAAAGGTGTCCCCAGATGGTGCAGTCTTAACTCACCGGGGAGATAACCCCCCGGGCTGGGTCACACTTTGCCGACTCTCCATGTTTTTCCTTCCAGAGGAATATTTGCCATTCATGCATGCTGGGCCCTGCACAACCAGCCCTGCCTCAAAACCACCCTGGCAGAGGTCCCAGCCAAGAAAGCCTCTCTGTCACCCTGGTGTTGCAGCTGCAAATACTCAAATCCCAGTCCCATCAAGTTAGGGAGGCCACCACGCTTCTACATGAAAGCTTTCCCCAGCGGGGAGGCGCGGGAGACTCCGGGTCATGGCCTAGGTGAGCTCCCGGAATAGCACACATTGGCCCCAAGCAGCCCAGTGGGTCTCGACTGCAGCCGAGACCTCCCAGATCAAAATCTCCCTGAAAATGGAGCCTGGATATTTTAAAGAAAGGGCCAGAGGTAATTCTGATGAAGCCAGAGTTGAGGACATCATGAAAGTTTCAATGGTGAAACCAACAATTCTCATCCTTGGCTGCCCATTGGAATTGCGTAGGGAGCTTTCAAAAAAAGTGATACTCAGGCCACACCCTAGACCAACTAATTCAGAATCCCTGTGAGTAAGTCCTGGGTATTAGAATTTTTAAAGCTCGCAGATGATTCCACCAGGCAGCCAGAATTCAGAGGTCCTTTCTCTTCCTGATCGTTTACAATAATGGAGACGCTTCTCAGTTGCTCTTTATGAGAGAGGAAAAAGAAGAAGGGTTGGTGACTTTTTTTTTTTTTTAACTTCTCAGGCATCTACTAATATTAGACCTAATTATGCTGATTATTTTAGGCACAAGTCACAGAAGGAGGGGGAAGAGTCACCTTACCTGGCTACAAGTGAATCACTCTTGACTCAGCTGCTGTCTCCTGTGCCTCAGGTAGGCACCAGTTCCCATCTGGCTGCACCTTAGAATCACCTGGGAAGCTCTGGAAAATGCCAGGGCTGAGGACACACCCTGGAGATGCCCATCCAATTGTTCTGGGCACCTGGGTGATTCTAACATGCAGCTAGGTGGGAACCACTGGAGGAGGTGTGGGGAAACAAGAACCAACAAATTCAGAATCTGCCACATCCACGTCCCCTTTGTCCCTCTCCCCCAAACCTCTGGGCAGTGGCTGTAATGTGCGTGGGCCCCTCATATCAGATGCTGGAGAAGTGGGAGATGTTGTGTCCCCATTTACGAAAGGAATCTAAAACAACATGGGAGTGATTTTATCATAAAGGGGAATGGGAAATATGTGAGACTGAATATTTTCTTATATCCTTTGACCATTTAATTTCATCTGTTTTAAGTGGGTTTTGTGATCCAGTGATTGGTTCAGAACACAAGGTTCTGGAATGCTGTTTTATCTTCATGATTCTGAAAATGAGGCTCTAGAATCACCTTCAGGCTGTTTCCCTGAAATAAGAACAAAAAAAGGACAGGCGTGCAAGAGAAAGAAAGGAAGGAATGCAATAATAGCACAGGAAGGATCAGGAGCTTGTCTGAGTTGCAAAGGGAACCATTTAGGCTGGAGACAAAGTCAAGTGCTCCAGACAGGTGGGTCCTCTGAGGCCCTTTCATTTTTGTTACTAGTTAAGTCTGGAGGTTGCTTTGGTGGCTTTTCTTAGGAGCAAACTTTGTGGCTGTAGGCTTCTCCCATTTTAGCAAGAATGATGAAATCGTGTGTGAGACGCCTTTCCCCCCTGCCAGCAACCTGGTCTTTCCTCAGTCCCTCTCTCATCTGGTTCACAGTCCCATGGATTTTTAATTTTTTTTTACCTTAAGAAAAAATTTCCCCAACTATTTCCAAGCAAATTGGAAGGTACATAAATTATAATAAGGCAGGAAGAAAAAGAAAAAAGCCCACACTGTTGTACCCCCTCACCTCAAATGCAGCCCAATGGACATGTTTTCTTCCACACTATTTCTATGTAGTTTTTTTAACATAGTTAAGACATGGGGTTAAAAAAAATTATTTTTTTACAAAATCAATTTCTTATTTAATATCGCTTCACCATTTTACTATGTCATTAGAAAACACTGCAAAAGTCATTTTAAATGCCTGCACAGATTTAATTTATGTACCACTTTTGATATCATAGTCAATGCCAAGTGATTGTTGTGCACACATCTTTGTTTGCAGTTGAGATTATTTCCTTAGGACAGGGTCCCAAATGTAGATATAACATGGCACAGACCCTGCAGCCAAATTGTCATGGATTCAAATTCCATTCTTACTGCCTATGTGACCTTGAGCAAGTTACTTAACCTCTCTGTGCCAGATTCAGCATCTTTAAAATGCAACAGTAAGAAAGACCTACCTCATAGAGTTATGAGCATTAAACGAGTTAGTATCTTGCAAAGTGCAATAAACTGTGCTTGACACAACAGGCTATATAAGGGCTAAAAATGTAAATTAAAAGATGGGAGCATTTTTAAGGCTATGTTATCTTCATAAACAGTGACGTACTCCCAGGCAGGAGGCTAGTACCCTGATTTTTAGCCAAGTCTTTGGCATAGGTCCCAAGATAAAGTCTTTAATATGAGGGTCAAGGACCAAATTAAACTACTTTTAGAAATATATTTTATGCCAACTTGCCTTTAACATGAAGAAATCCCACAGGGCTGGGGTGGGAGTGGGTGCACCAGGTCC